AAAAGCTAGCATGACTTACACATGGAAACAACACGGTGTACACATGATGTAGTATATGCTTAGAAACAGTTACTAGAAGAAAACACACAGACTTGCTGCATATGTTTATTGTTAAACTATACCCCTAACTTGGATTTATTCTGCAGTTGGATCTGTCTTTATGTGGCAGGAAGATGGTAAACATAACTGGCACCAGCAGATATTTAAACCTAAGCAATGCTCCAACACTGTTAACACAGTTGAGATGGAGACATACTCTTTCTGGTTTTCCACCCATGGTTAGGTGTTGCCACCGTATTTACTTTCATAGAGTCACAGAATAGAATCATAGAATCATCCAGGCCGGAAGGGACCTCCAAAGGTCATCTAGTCTGACCCCCCCACGGTCAGCGGGGACACTCCCAACTAGACCAGGTTGCCCAGGGCCTCATCAAGCCTCACCTTGAATATCTCCAGGGATGGGGCCTCAACCACCTCCCTGGGTAACCTGTTCCAGTGCTCCACCACCCTCACAGTAAAGAACTTTCTCCTAATCTCCAATCTAAATCAGCTCCCCTCCAGCTTAAAGCCATTGCCCCTCATCCTGTCACTACAGGCCTTTGTAAACAGGCTCTCCCCAGCCTTTCTGTAGGCCCCCCTCAAGTACTGGAAGGCTGAACTACTTTCCTTAGGTGGCTCTGTCAGACAAAGGTACCAGAGCATTTCCCTTTTTATAGCTACTGTGGGCAAAGCAACAAGCTCTGGGCATTTCATGACAGGGTGGGTGGTCCTACACAGGGCTTGAATTTCCATGGCTTCTAAAAATGAACTGTTGGTGGCCCAGCAGCAGGTGACAGGCCCTTAGCCAGTTTTCAGTAACTAGCACTGATCTCCCAGCTACTTATAGCAGATTGGGTGCCAGTTGTGTGTGCCTTCATTACCTCCTCTCCCAGCTCTTACCCATAAATGAGCTGAAAGCTTTTAAGACTGTTTTGAATGGAGACAAGGTGTTTCTTGTCAGGAAAGTCATTCTGCTGGTGGTACTATTACCGTGGGCATCACTTAGAATATGTTTCAGTGGTGTACCCCATGGATAGGTGAAGTCACATGCAATTGCTGTATCAGACTATTGATGAAGGTGACTGGCATGGAGAAAAAGAGAAAGGTGACGGTTCATTTCTGAAATTTTCCATCGTATAGGCTTAGCTAGCATACCAGAAAATGGCAGCTGCCTTCATTATCCTTAGCAGTGCATCATTACACTAGAAAATAAAATATTCTGTACCACGCAAAGATTGCTGTGAACATAATTTAATCCAAACAAGTGCTTTTTTGGCAAATAAAGAATATCAGGAAGAATCAAGGCTGAAGCTGTGAACATAAAGACAAGCTCTTTATTGCAGGTTTAACCTTAGACTCAGGCAAGAGTGAGGACTCAGTCTAATTTTGGTGTTCATATAGATCATAATCACTGTTGCTTGTATTTTAATCAGCCTTCCTATAAAAGTAACAGTGATAACAGTTAAGATTCTGATAGTTTTTGTGGGATCTTCAGCTCTTCTATTGTTCTATGTGATTAACCTGCTGCTTATGTTTGTCTCCACAGAGACTGAGGCCCTGGCGACATGAATTAGTTTGTGGGAGCATAACTGTACTTGAGTTCAAGTAGTAGTTTTATACTGATCTGAATTTTTGTTTTAAGCAACTAAGGTCTTTAAATATAAATAATTTTTAATTTTTTTTAAAAAACTACTTCATTTGTATTTGTTCTCAAGAAACGGAAAAAGCACAGAATTGACCAAAAATAGGAAGCGCGTTCAACCAGGTGAAATAGATTATATGGTCATATCTACGTCTTCGTTTTTCCATTTCTTCACAATATTAAGAAAAAAAAATAGGAAAAGATAAAGCGCAGAAGTTAAAGCTGTCCTAATGCTGCAGAAAGTTACTTGCTTCCTGCTGCTTGCAGAATCTACAGATTATCACTTCAGTGTCGCTCCATTATTTTAACACCAAACTAGATAAATCAGTCTCTGTATTGCACCTGGACAGACAGGCAAAGTTGAAATGAAACTAAAAGGATTTTGTCCTCAAATTGCTGGTGAATTCGAACCTCTCCTGGTGAAGATTTTTTGCAATGCTTCTTAGCACTAAGTATGAAAAAAACCAAGTCTTAAGAGCCAATTTTCACAATGCTCTTTGCTTTCAAGAGTAGAATGGTCAGAGCGGAGCAGGCAGCACCCATGCTACCTGGCTTTATAGGCAGTTTCCCTCGCCCCTTCGCAGCGGCTCTACACCATTCGTGGTCTTTATCACTAGTTCTTTAGGTGAAAAAAAAAAATTAATGTAGGGAGTTACAGAAAAATTACCAAGTATCACTTTAATAGAGATAAAAATCCTGGCCAATGAACTTGAATACCTCTTCTGATTACAAACACAACATTTAGCTTATGTGCTTTTTGTTAACATACGCTACTCGCTGAATACCAGCTAGTAAATTTAAGCCTCTAATAGGTCTGGTGGTTGAGGAAAGGATAAAAATAGAGTAAGTGCTGTCCTGAACCGAGTTTTTTCCACCACCACTTTTTTCCTGCACCCTGAATGCAAAAGATGGATTATTTTTATTAGCTGTTTTGTGCTTCAGTAGTCTTGCACCTCTATCGAAGCAAACGCTGACAAATGGAGTCCTTACCTTTGCCTAGAACTGAAAGCGAAAGCAGAAAGCCCAGCTGCTGGAACGGGCTTTGATGGATGTGGAGAGTCATTGCGGAGTACACTAGCAAGAAATAGCCAGGCCCCAGTCAGGTCACAAGGCACATATTTACCTGAGTCTCACAGAAATTGCAACGCCAGCTCTTTTCTTTGCCTCTCCAATGCATTTCATAGAAATGGGGTTTCATGGCCTAGAACCAGGCCACACAGACCATTTCTTAGTCCTCCTAAAAAAAAAAAAAAAAATAAAGAGAAGCAATATTCCAATATTCCCTGATCCCTGTTATATACATGGAGAGGCCATTAACTCTATTTTTCAAAACCTATTGATTTCAGGAGGTTGCAGAAAATGCTACCCTGTGATAATAACCTCAGCTTCAGTAATGGTGAATTTTATAAATGAACTTCGTTTCCTCCCTGAGTAGGCCTAGCTGTCGGGTTTTCATACTTCACTTTAGCCACAAAATGGATTTATCAGCCTGCAACTGAGATGGTTTTCTCTGCAGGTAATAGTACCTTGTATTCTGCCTAGTGGAAAAAGTGGAGACTAGGGATTAGAGTAGGGGTTGCAAACAATATCCTTGCATTTAAAACTGGCACGTTACTGTTGTGGTGAACAAGGCTTGGCTCTATCAATTCCAGAATCTGTGTTTTTTCCTGCTGTGGCTTTGTAAAATCTCTTGGATTTCATGCTTGATAAATGGAGTCCTGCTCTGCAATACATTTTAGTGACGATGAGACAGAGCTTTACAAAACCATGGTTGTTAGAGTTGTCTTCAGTTCTCCTGGTGCCACCAGGCTGGGTCACAATCCCCTAAGTAAAAGTTTCTTTTAAGTAGAAGTTCTCTTTCCTTTGCAGCTAAATAGCGTGCTAGCCACTCTACAGTAGAAAAAGCACTTAAATGTTCCTGTCTGTAGATCCAAAAAAGCCTACTGACTTTGCTATACACTGGTGTCTCACCACAGCCATCCTGGTGGTAGAAATTTTGCACGCTAAATAATTATAAACACACACACACACCATGATTTGAGTGAAATAATAATTTATTTGGGCTTACTTCAGAGGAAATTTTTGCCAGTCCCATTGTGATTGTACTAATGTAGTGGAGCTGTAATCTACACGTGGATCCTTTTATCCCAAAATAAATGGATTTCTTTTGATCAGTTATGTAATTTGTTTAAACTACACTGCAAAGAAGTAATAGAGATGAAGATAAAACAGACTCACCCTTACACATACTGGAAGAGCATGGTATGAGTTCAAACTCCCATTCCATTGCATTTTTCCATTGCAAAATTATAATGGTATAAGCTAAAGAACACCCAATTCTGTACTGTCCCAGCAAACTGACTCTTCAGTCCAGCAGCTGCACTGCTCATGTGCAAACCATGAGGATGTACCACTCACTTTAACAAATCATGTTATAACCTTACACTCATGGACATTCACCCACTAAGCACAGCGTAGATATAATCAGAAGACTAAACTATGTCAAGGGGAGCTGAAAAATGCCAAAAAAATTTAATGTCTTAGGTTTTTTTTGTTTACCACCCATTTAATGTATTTCAAGTCTGAAAATACATGTTTATACATTTTCTTATTAAAAAATGAGGGTGGCAAGGAACAGTGTGAGCAATCGTATGTGTGAACGATGTAAATGTTGAGCAGAAACCACTGAGGGAATAAAGACTAATACAGATCTGGAATGTCTGGTTGTTCTCAGTTTCCTGTTTGGCTGATAATTTGATGGCAATATGCTGTGCTTTCCCAAAGGGCATCACAGAAGCACGTTCTGCTCTCTAACAAGCCCTGCTGTAACACTGACAAAGAGTACATCAAATTAAAATGAGCATTTGTGGACAACTGCTTCTGGTTTTACAAATGCAAAAGATATCTTTGCTTTTGTTATCTGACAGAAGAAGATCCCAATATTTTTAAACACCACTTCCCCAAACATTGATCTTAACAAGGTTGAGGGGAGATGTAGAAAGGAAATGGGGCTTTATTCTCAAGCCTGAAAAACCTATATATAGTTATGCGTGTATAAAACCCCTCTTTTTAATATATATTATATGTTACTAAAAATTTGAGCAATCCTCTCAATTTGCATTTAGCTTTGAAACCTGTTTCTGTATTAGACTCGAAGGCTGTGCATGCCCAAGTCTTGCCCATTTTTCTAACTCTCAGTTTCCCTATGTAACAAGGCAATTTCTGTAGAGAAGGAACAGAAACACTCCAGCTGATGCATAAAAGAGAATTAAGAAACTTCCTGTGGGCAGAATGGATCTCCAATGAAAATATATATTTTAAAAGCACTAGTCAATTATTAGCTAAGCTGCTAGAGCATTAGTACTCTTTATGAAGTAACCTTTGGCTGATGGACCTGACCCCATGGACGCTCAAGCCGAAGACACCTCTTCTACCAACCAATCCCCTGAGCTCTGGGGATAGTTCCATGCAGTTTGCCCACGGAGAGAGCCCTCCGCAAACTTTAGTATCTCTGTCAAAAGTTTCATACCTGGTGGATCATGGAGCTCCTTGTAAATGTAAGAAAATGGATAGAAGAAAACAAAGCTGCTTTTTTGCCACCTGTGTGCAATAAGCTTATGTAAGTAAATGAAGATTATTTTTTCTAACTCAGTTCTCAGATACAGAAATATTTAGTTATAAGCGGAAAATGCTAAAATGCGTATGTGGTAAAGATTAGTAAGGAACTGGATGGAGTTCCTCTCAGCCTGCAGTCAGAGTGCTGTTTTGAAGAACAGAAAGTGACTGACATCCATTTTGTATTAACCCTGCAGAAGCTGTAAAGATCATCAGTTAAACTGAGTTGAGGGAATTTGTGTCAGGCCCTGCGACTATGAACTCATAGAAATCAGAGGAGATGACATCATACCCACAAATGATAAGATTTAGCTAACAGATTAACGCTACCAAATTACCGCCTAAAACAGCTACTAGAGCTGCTGAGAGTCATTCCAACATTGCAGAGGAGCCAAAGCTGCAGGAGCGATCAAAAACAGTGGGACGTGTCACTGAAAGATGAGGAGAAAGGGAAGGGCAGAGGCGCTGGAGGAGCAAGTTTCCAGGGCATTTCCAGAGCTGTCAAGACAGGGTAGGAACCTCTGTTCATCGGGAGGCTGAGGAGGCACCTTAGAGCTGCAAACCGTGCTCTGAATGAGACAGCTAATATAAGAAAACAGTATGAGCAGTTGTGTGTATAGAAAAAGTATACAGTTGTATAGCATGCATATTCTCAGTGTCAGTAATCATGAGAAAATGTCAATGTAGATGTGTGGCATCTTCTAGTCACAACATTAATAAGGATTTCTTTTGTCAGTGAAGTCAAGGACAATATATTTTGTCCAAAACTCTATAACAGAGGGCTTTCTTAAGAAAGGATTCTCTGTAAAGACTGGTATAAACCCAGGTTTTATAAAGAAAATGAAAAGCATTTTTCTTACTCTTTTTTTTTTTAAATCTTATTTTGCAACTTTAATCATTAAAAATGCACTAAAGAATGTGCCTCTTTCCCAACTCTGAAGTGCTACCTCTAATCAACCGCTGAAGGGGCAGCACTGGAGCAGTGATATTAATTTCCATTCGCAGGTTCAAGGGTTACTTTTCAAAGTAATGATTGCAAGAGAAAAACAAGGTAAAGGCCACATCCTTACTGAGATGACTGTGTTGAAACTACAGTTGTGCGTTTAATGGAGAAATTATGAAACTTGAATAACTACAATAGTTTTCACAGAGGGAAAGAATGAGGAAAGTGTCTTTTCCTTATGAGTGTTGTCATTTCTTTCATTTTCAAAATTGATTTATGAAGCATTTTGTGAAGCATAGGCATTTCTAAAGCTTACCAATGATAGTAGTAAAATTTTAGTATTTTACAGTATGTGGAATATTCATAATTTTCTTTCTGCATCAGTAAGATGAACCTTTCTGTCACTAGTGCACTCTTCTGCACTTCCTACCAGCAGTTCTTTGTAATCCTGAAGTAACTCTGGAACACGACATCTATCAGTGGCCAGACAGTTGCATAGATCCCTAAATACTCAGTGTTGACAAGTCTTCCCCATAAACATTGCAAGAAGCAACAGTGAAACAAGGAACATTTTTTGTGATAAAAATTGCATAGATTAAAAAAAGGAAATCAGTTTTCCAACACAGCCTCATCTTGTGGAGGAGAGGAAAGCCATCTATTATATGGATTCTGAATCTCTCACCACCTGCTCCTTGTGCTATCTAAAGGTTTTCATGATTTTCCAAAAAGGTTTTAGGTGATTTTCCAAGAAGTGACTAATAAATTTCCAACATTTGTCTAAAGGCTTTGATCCTTTATGTGCTGAGTAGAGATGTATAAGGCAATTTTTTCACTGCCATCTACATCACTGGAAGGCAACCACCTCAAAACATTTAAGTAACTTATGATCCTGTGTTTCAAGAGAGAATTAATGGTTAAAATCTAGGTCTTACAGCAAATCAGTAGGACATTTGGTGTCCAAATTTATTATGGCTTTCAAGCATTTATTCAGTTTTGTTCCATACACTTAAGAGGATCAAAAGTTTTAAATGCCAATTTGGGATTTCAAAACAAAACCTCAGTTCCTGAATCATCACTTGTTTAAAGTTTTAAGTCAAGAAAAGGCTACAGTGTAAGAGCTGCAATTTAATTAGATGTATTTTAATGTCACTGTCTTGCAAGTTTAAGTGCTTTTTAACCTCAACAATGAGCAATTAGTGCAAAATCAGAACCCTTGGCACAGCTGATTTTTGCAGGGTAGCTATGGCACTTCGAAAGCTCTTCTTTGAGTTCAGAATATGATACTTACCATAAGGAGACCTAACTGTGGTCATGGACTATCTGGTTCTTCATGGTCTTGAGACATTTTTGAAAGGCTGCCTGCTGGTGCCATTTTCTTTATGTGGTTAAGAAGAGAAATAAAAGTGTATATAAAACATATTAGGCAACTGATTAGCAACTCATTCTAAAAATAGTGCAATCAAGTAATTTTCACACCCCTGAAACCATTATGATACTCTAAGTGCATTTTGGCAGTTTTAACCGAAGCTGCTTTCCTTCCTTATGATTTTTCCTTTTAACTTAATGCAACTATATTAACCAGACAATTTTATTTAGCAATATAGACAAACAAACCTATTGGAGTACTTGCTTGTATTTTATAGCTGGAATTTTTTGATGGTGTCATTATATAACTGTTAATGATAGGAATGATTAACCCATAGTTGCCTGTTTATTACATAAAACCCATCTCAGTCCATAGTGTAACAGAATTAATGGTAAATTTGCCAAAGAAAAAGTTAAACAAGAGTGATTTTTAGAGCAATATTTTCATTTTAAGTTACTGAACTAAGAATGAAACTGTATGGGTTTCTATAAAAAAAAAAAAAAAAACAACAAACAAGCCAACTCATCTTAATAGTAGGCTACAAAATACCCATAGATTGCCTTTCTCTTATTTTATTTTCCAGGGCTGATTTGAATGTATTTCATTAATTATTAGCGATGTTATTGCTGTTTTGGTCTTCCTGCCCTTCTTTAGTACAAGTGTTCATTAATGCAGGAGTATTACAGTGTGTTCTTGAAAACAAATATTAAATCTGTATGGTACAAACAGTTCTGATTTCAGTTCCTTATTTTAGGGTATGGGCATGAAGCCAAGTGCTATAATGTATACAGCTTCTTATGGCGAACATAATCAATTTAAGAATTATAATCTAAAGTAACTCTTTAGACTTTTATTTGGCCAACTAATTTGTCACTTTTACTTATTCTTTCTGTTTTACTACTCCCTACTGTGGTGTTCATTATTATTTAAATATTCTTCAAAGTGAACATGATAATGGTAGCAGTTCAAATATGTACGTTCAGCTATTCAGAACTGATCTGCTCTCAATTAAGGCTTATGAGGTGCTGACACAGAGGCATTGTTCTTCCCCGTGTTGCAAGGGAGCGTGGCTCTAAGTTACTGGGATCTCCTGTTATTGCCCAGAATCTTCTCACTGAAAAGTAGAAATCAAGACACCTCAGTTTACATGTTAAAAAGAGCTTAAGATCAAATTTTGAATCACAGCTAACAGGCCTAATTTACAGTTGTTTTATTCAGCAAATGAAAACATGCTACCTTACCTCTTTATTAGTTTAAGTGGACTGATAGATAATTGGGGTGATGGGTATTCTTTGTGGCAGCTGAGACAAGTGCTTATTTGGGCTCTTAAAAGGGTCTGAATCTCCTTTTCTGAATTAGCCATCACTGCAATGAAACCGCTGTAACGTTTTTCCACCTTAACGAAACCAGTATAAATAGAAGAGAAATTAGCTGATAATTCCTACCATCAGTATCTCTGGTAATTGTACCAACGGGGGAAAAAAAAAGAAAAAAAAAAAAAGTATGTTTTCACCTTAATTACCTTTTCAACCTGAGATGATTAGATCAGGATTCTGTAAAGACATTTTCCTGTCGTTCCTGTCACTTAGCATCCTTTATCTTTACAGTTCAAAGCTCTTTCCACAGTTGGTAACTGTCAATGTCCCTTTTTCATACCTGGAGGCACTGAAACACAGGAGGGAGGTAGCCAGCCTCAGGTCACCTGGCAGGACAGCGGCAGAGCGGAGACGTGCACCCAAAGTCTTTTGAGTTCTCATTCTGGATGTTACTTGTCACTCAGCATTGTTTCGTAGAGTCACTGACCTCAAAGAATTAAATAAACCAAAAAATTACATGAAATAAAGAGCATCATGAATGGAGATAGATTTAAAATGTCACTTTCTTTTCTAGGCATCGCTATCAATTAAATGTGATGTTTGTTGGAGGGCCAAATGAAAGGAAGGATTATCATATTGAAGAAGGAGAAGAGGTAACCTATAGGCTGTTTATATTTTGCTGTTTTAATTGATCTATAATGATTAAAATACAGCTGCTTTTGCAGCTACAGCTACACATTAGCAATGCAAGGCTCAGTGATATTGTATTTATTAGACCTATTCAAAGACTTAAACAGAATCATTCACTAGAACCATAGACCATCTGTGCATTTCCTTTGAAGACACAGGAGATCAGATCTATTTTGCTATAATTAATTTCCAACAGGAAACTGGAGAAAGTGTTCTGACACATTAAAATGTCTCATTTAAACATTTTGGAACAAAACTTTGGAAAGGTAATGATCATTATAAAGTGATACTTTGTTGCAGAAGAGTGATGTATATTTCAAAAGTAACTTTGAAATTCAGAAATCAAAATTAAATATTTTGACTGATTGGCTTGAAATTGTATTTTTCTGGACTTTATGAAAAATATTAGTGTTTTCACCTTTCATCCACATTTGGAAGGTTAAAGAATAGAGTCTCTAAATATTTTTCAGATCAGTCCCTTTCACTGAACATCTTCTGCATCAAAAGAAAGCCATCCCGCTGCTTTGAGCTCTGAGCAGCCATTGTGCCAGATGCAGAACCTAGGATAATGTAACAATTTGCACTTACTTTGTTTATTGCCTTTTTCATGGAATTGTTTGCTTGGCCTGAGGACTCATCTGAGTCAACTGGCTCTGAAGGAACCCTAAGGGAAAGGGGACACTAGAGGCCAAGCAGTAAGGATTTAATGATGGGAGAGAATTTGCCTTGCTTCCCAGCAGAGCAGTTTAATTTCATGTAATTCCAACAAAATTTGGCCACTAATTTTAAGTACTTTTGGAAACCTGAGCTTAAGGATCTACGTAGTTCAATGCAGAAGTGAGTAAAGTTCAATAAATCCTTTGAAAAAGAAAAAAAAAAAGTGTTTACTTACCACTGAATCATTTCTCACAAAACTAACTCAGCCATTTCACAACAGCCTTCATTAATTTTCTGCTATAATTGTGCCATGCAGGTGTTTGTAGTCATTATAACCATACAGCTCTGAAAGAGCAGATGCTACCTTATCGCTGTCAGACTTCTGCCGGCTTTGCATTGCCACCACGGTCTCACAGCCCACCTGCAGCTGTGGGCACAGGTTCCTCCAGGTCACCCACACACTCCATTCATTATGTCCCTTCTCATCAGCTCTGGCGACGCTCTGGACTGTGCTGGCAGGTGGCTTGGGCTGGGAAGGAGGCAAGCCGGGTCTCATGGCAGTGCGTGTGCAGAGACTGTTGCTCACCAGAAGAATTTAGCATCCATCATATATTTACAAGGAAAGTCCAGAGGTACTTTGCTGGGGAAAACAAAATGTGGTTTTGTCAACGTGATTAAGTTCCTGGGAGAGGAGCGAGCATGTCTGTAGTGTGACTGCTCAGAAAGCACTGAGAAGAATATCTAACCTTTACGCTGCTGTTACGGTATATTGTTCAGTATTATATGTTAGATTAAAAATGAGTAATGAATTTTGTTATTGAGGTCAATGACATCAAGGTCTGCCAAAGCATCAAATGGAGGTACATGAAGGTACATACGGAAGTTAATGATTCCAAATCTTTTTTTCTGTAACTTAACCTTTTTGGTCTTACACAATTAATTTATTTTCTTGCTCTGAAGAATACATTAGAGCTACACACTAAGAGAGAAACACACAAAAAGGAGCTGAAGTTTAACTGGTACTGTAATTTGCACTACAATATTAAATATATTGTATTTTTTTTTCTTTTCTTTATGATCTTGTCTCTCCTTGCATCTCCCAGTTCATACTGGATTATCCTTCGTCCCCGACCCATTCCTGTGCAGTTTCATTTTTTAAAAATTTATCTCCTCCTGCCCTTCCCCAAAAATGAAAGATTAATATAATTACCTCTTTTTTCTTTTATTTTGCAAGAGGTTCCTGTATTTGAAGAGAGTTTGGCCTACCTTTAATAATCCTAAACACATTGTATGACTTTCCAACAGCAAAAAAAGTTAGCCATATTTATAAAGGCATAATTTATATAAGTATGCAACAGTATAGTAAATTATTTCTAATCCAACTGGATACGAGATTTTTTAGGTATCAATACATCATCCTTTGCCTAGCACATTTCCCATAATTACTCAGCAGCCAAAAGTGGAAACATAAAATTCCTATCAGATAGTAAAATTGGTAATACACACAACAGAAGCATTATTAACATATTGGCCATTTTTGTCCAGTTTTTTAGAGGTACAACATACTCATACGTTGCTTTTTACCATTGCTTTTTATCATACACATTTGCACCTTCCTGTGATCTGATTTAGATCCACATTTTTCATTAGAGAAGAATTGTGAGACAGAGAGTATCCTAGTAAAAGGGCACATTCCTAAATTAGACTTGGGGTTGAAAATACAAACATTCAAAGCCATGTTCAGCTCATTATTTTTGCAGGCAAAAGGTCATTTATGGTTCTGAATGACAATTTGAAAACTATACAGGCGTACTGTTAACAGACCAAATCATGAGTGCGAAAACCCACAAGTCCTTTACCCAAGTTTAGCTGATGCTCTTCTATTAATATTATTCTGATAGCGAGGAAGTGTTGGTTTAGAAGAGAAAGTTAAGTTTAGGATTGTTTATATCTGTTCACTCATTATTTTATGCCTGTTATCAAGCACAGCTTATAGTGTGTCCTGTGGCACAACTTGCGCTTGTCAGCCTGCAGTTCCAGCAGCGAGCGGTTCACATGCAGAGACAAGGGCTTGGGAGCATCCTCCGGCTGTTCTCTGCTGGTGCCATTAATGTGCAGGTGTATCAGGAAGATCAGTTCTGACTGGCTAATTATGAGAAAAAACAGAGCCTTGATTTGGACGCTCTTCAAAGCCTTTTAGGATTGTCTCCTGAACAGTCATTAAGGCTAAAATGACAACTAGTCTTGCACAATTTTTTTTTCTTCTCTCAACAAGCAGGAATTTCCTGAATATGTAACTCGACATTCTCTTCCTTCTTAGTTTTCTCTGCACTGCTTCACTTCCTTCTTAATTCCTGAACACTGCTTATTTGCCATCCTTCTGCGCTGCCTCATACCCGAGACTTTGCTTTCCATTGGACAGGTTTATAAGGAGCTGCACCTTACAAGAGAGAAATGATTCACATTCTTTGGCTTGACTTTACCACTATCTCATGTTCATTTGTTTTCCTGTTTGTAAATGTTAAGTTCCCCCTTCCTCCCTTCTCCATCAGAACAGAGACAGGGTCAACAGACATCTACCCAGATATTCTCTGCCTCTAAATCAGACTCATTCTCGAAAGTGAAACTGAATTGCTTTGGGAAATGCATCTTTTGTTGAAACATGGGAAAAAACCTGCTGTGAGAATGCGCCTATATAGCTAGAGATACAAGACTTCCTTAATATGCACTAAAAGTTAAGTGTTTGTGCTATAGAGCTAGTTTTGTGAGTTTTCATAGGAATCGTTAACTCCCATGTACCTTACTTGCCAAAAGAGCTTTGGATTACATAGACTAGTGGCTACAATTCTTATGTAGTCAACTTGATGAGACCACTGAAAGCTTCTGCGGCAGCCCTGCCATGATGCTCAACCCCTCATGGCTGCAGGGCAGCAGATGTATTCCAGGTACCAGGGAACAGTCCTGGACCTACCTTTGTCTCTTACATTTTTCGTCATACAGTAGTATTTCTGAGTTTCAGCACTGCAAAGCCTGAGGGGGAGGGGGGGAGGAACATCTAGTCTTACTTTATAAATTCACTATATAACTTTCAAGAAATAAGGCAAGCAAAAACTGTATGTTTTGGGGGGAGTTAATGACAGATAAAAAACATGATCATAATAAAGCTTAGCTATAGTAAAACCAATTTTGGATTTTATTTTCTGCATCGTGTGGGCTGCTTTGGGGGAAAGTGAGATATGCTAAGAGCTAAATCCAGGATCACAAAAGTAGTTAGACTCCTGTCTTTTTACCCACTTCACCACTTAAACACAATAAATCTCAACTAGCTGACTTGAAATTTCTTAACAATTTATATTCTAATGTCGAGTCTACATAAAACAGTGCCGTTCCATGCAGAGAAATTCAAATCAGCCTTTTCGTCTACCACCTGCAACACATTTGCATCAGCACAATATTCTGCTTGGGTTTAAATGATCTGCTTCTCATTGTGCTGTGTGTATTTTACCCTAAGTTCCTGCACTCAGCATCTAGGTTGTTTCCTCTGGATACAGCCACCCAAGTACTGATGCAGCTCCACAGATCAGAGCCCTTACACTGCAGTCCTAAAGAGGACCCTCAGAACAGAAATTTCCTCTCCTCTGATCATCTTGACCAACCTCTGCAGCTGCTTCTTGTGTATTTACAAGGTCTAATTGAGATCTAGTAATGTCTTGCTCTGAAACACGATACAGATTTGCGGTCACATCTGCCACAGCTCATCTGAGTTTTCTAACTTGCATTTTGTTTCTCTTTTTCTCCCCCTCACACACACACACTACAAGTGAGACTTGGCTCCAGTTTCTGACTGAATTACCTGCTTAAATGAAGCCTGACCCCTTCCTTCTTCTAGCGTCTGCTGCTCTCTAGACAGCATGTCTTTGAGAAACCCTTCCCTAGCAGCTCAATCTTCCCTTTGCATTGTATGGGGATAGTGGATGCCTGAGGAGGAGGAGGAGCAAGGTGAACATTCCAGTGGGTAGTTTTGTGGTGCTTATCTCCCAAATAAAACTGAGAACATGAGATGCAGCAAAGCAAGAGAAAACCTTTAGCTTCTTTAAATTTAAACAACCCCACATTTATCTGGTGAAAACTCTGTATATTTTAATAAGAAACAAAGCTCCTATTACAAAGTAATAAGAGTGATGATCCTTTTGCATCAGAAACAGACTGTGTCTTCAGAAATAAGTTTGCTGCATAAAGTCATTGGGATGAGTCTTGGCTAGTATTCAGGTTTCACAGATGACATGTGAATGAGTAGAGGAAAAAAAACAAAACCCACAACACAGTTTTCTCTATGGAAATTTTCTCTACCTTTCTCATGTTTGCCTCTCAGACTCGTGATGGCTGAAAAACCTTGGGATGAGAGAGTGAAAATTGTTTTTCTGTGCTCAAATACATCATTCACCGCTGAAGTCTGGAGAACACCCAGGCTCTACTCCCACATCAGAATTTGATTTGCTCTGCAAATTAATCTAGCATTTAGCAATCTGACAAGCAATACAAGCCAGGATATGCCAAATCACGGTCTAATCCCAGAAGTGGCTGAGCAACCCCAAGTTCCACTTTCAGAAGCAGTACTCAAAGTACACTGCAAATTGCAGGTGTTTTTACAGGTCCCTGAATAAGTTCTCAGCTACAAAAGCCTTTACAGAGCTCTGGGCTCCTACATCTAGGCATAGTTTGATATTAAAGGTGGATGTAAATTAAATTACATACATTGCTGTACATAAAATAAAATAGACTTGTTTTTTAATTGGCCTATGCAAACCAGTTAGAAATACCATGTTATTCCCCTACTACATGCTTCCTTCTTTACTCTGCTAGGATACACATACCTGGATGAAGGAGCAATACAATTCTCACCATGTTAACATGGTGGGGATGATAGTGCTCTATTTAAGGTAGTATCCACACTTTCTACTACTGTGTTGAAATGAATTCCTACCAGCAGCTTCAGTGAGCTTCCATTGAAGGGAACAGTGAATTCCCACCTCTCTGCACTTCAACCTCTTTTCTCCAGAAATGCCTGCATAATTTATTTTACAAGTTTGCATAATTGAGTGAAATACCCTTTTACAGACTTGACAATGTTTTAGCACTGGTCATGCTGCCTTTCACTGCGGCTTAACACAGTATTATCAGGTTTGAAGCGTGATCAAGAAGAGTGAAGCAGAGTAAGGAAAGAAAATATAATTCTCCTACAGTAAAGAGAGTTAAGGAAAACTAAATGAGTCAAAAAATAAACTGTCAAGGGACTTTCAGTTTCATTTTCGTACGTATAACTGCAGTTTTAATCATATTGAGCAATATTATGAAAAAATGTTATGCTTAGCATAAAGAATGACTTCTAGGTGTCTCAACTTCTAGAGGTAAGGTGTGAATTAATAAGGAGAGATGTTTTTAGTGTAATTCTAACAAGAAGGTGCTCTGTAGTAAGCAGGAAAGCTAAACGAAAGGCAAAAGTGTGTAAAAATGAAAGGAAGAAAAGGAGAGATAAAAATAATAAAATAAAAAAAAACAATAAGAACATTTAGCAATGAATACAAAGAATAAACAACCTTTGTTTCTTCTTTGAGCCACATTCTTCACCCAGAAAGACAAATTCATGTCCGATTTTGACCCCTTATGCAGCAGCAATGTAGAAATCTAGGCTTTTTTGCAAAGATAGATATATATATTACATGTAACATGGGACCTTGTCATTAATAAGATGCTAATAGAGTGACAATGTTATACATTTCCTCAGTTTTCAGTACTACCGTGGAGAATGGATACCAGATCATCCCAGTAAAAACAGACCAACTAGGAAAGTTTATATTTTCAGGTGGCATGAGCTCTATTGACTTACTCTCTATCTATATATGCGTACATATTTGTGTATATATGTATATACATATGCGTGTATGCACACCCCCCACACACACCCCAGTACTTCCTTATTCAGGCCTTGATTTTTTCAGGAGATACTTAGGAAGAGGCTAGATTTGCCCAGAATGCAAAGTTCAGTCAGCATTTAGAAAAAAATAACATTCCATCCAAAAGACAGTACAATACCTTATTGCCAAACTGTCCTGTGAAATGGGCATGGACTATAACTCACTGAGAAAACAGTTGACAGTTTTCTTGAGAAAAGTTCAGAGGATAATATAATCACAGCAGTAGAATCAATAATTACCACCACTCGTATTAATCATAGTTACATCAGATGATTTATGGATGACTGAAGCAGACATTTTTCAAAAAAGAGTTTTGAAGAATAGACCATAATTTATAGTGAAAGGTACTATTTAAATTCACTCAGAAAAGCACTTTTATTGACAATGTGTAGCCCACCTCATTCCTCCTTTCCCACTGCAAAACAATTCTTTTAATTCAGGGTTCAGAATCTTTCCTTATAATAGCGATGCTCAGCTATTGAACTGGATGGCCCCTTTCCCCTCCCCAGTCTCTCATGACCAGAAAGTTGCTTAGCTTCATGATTCATGGGCACAAACAGAATAAATCTCTGTCTCTGTTACCCTTTTCCTCTTCCACATGTACTGTACATGTGTTCACTAATAGCTCCCTTGGAAGTTATGGGGAAGACAACACTCCAAAGCTCGACGTTTCAAAAAGAGTATTTCAATTTCAGCATTACCAGTGCCATACTATCGATGGCCTGTGTGATAATCCATCAAGGTCTTATGGTCTCAGATGAGTCTTTTTTGAAGTGAGGGAGACATCATTTCCCCACTCAAATCACTTTATGTTGTACAATGCACAGTTAGCCTTGCCCGATGTGCTCCGTAATGAGGGCTACTAGAGCATTTTATACGGTCATTCAGTAACACCAAAGAAAATGACAGGAAAAGAACATGGGGAAATGGGGTGCGAGGAGGATAAGTAGCCTGACGCTGTGGCCATCTAGACAAGAGTTATCATTTATCAATGGTGATAAGGCACAAGGTGAACTTTTCACTCCTGTAAGAGCCCCCAGCCCTCAGAGTGCATCTTCAGTTCTCTCTAATGTATCATTCCCCTGGCAGCATAGTTGTTCTGTCTTACATTCATAGAGGTTTTTTTTTTTAATTCTCAGGAGCATGTATTAATATTTCAAAATATAATGGATATAATATTAGTAATAATCATGGTAATAATTCTGATTCAAAGAGCTGATTAATCTTTTCTACTGTTGGTTCAGGTCTTTTTTTATATGCTTCGGTGGTTTTTTATTTCCCTTATTTATTTTCCAATTTGCTAAAATTGTAGTGAATCACTATAAATAAAATTATTTTCATTATAGTTCTAACTTTTAATCAGGTTTCCTACAATTTCAGCTGCACCAGCAATTAGATAATTAATCTGTTTAGTTTCTAGATAGACAAACAGAACCTGGAAAGCATACAGAAGCTTGGCAGAGAGTGGCAGAAAATTAAAGTTGACTTTTTGAAGTATTGTTGTCCTGTATTATATGAAACGAGGAAAAATGTGCCCATTATTCCAGGTCAAAGAGAGATCTGCTTACAGATCCCAGCACAGTTCTGCCATGAAACATGAGGCTGGGTCTGAGCACCTCAGAGCCCCCACAAAGCTACTCTGAAAACAGAGATGTGGAAAGGTCATTGAAGACAGAGTTATGGGTTCAGTGGTTCTATCCTTATACATGCTTCAAATGTAATCCTTTTTACACACACAGTAGGAAGAGGAGCAGTTGTTGCTGAGCTTGGAGGGTATACACACAGAAATAAAGCAGAACAACTTCCAAATGGGCAATTATTCCCATACGAAAAATCTCCATTAAAAAAATGAAAAAAACCACACCCCAAAAACCTGTGTATGTGTATTTAGAGCTTATTTGGACAAGTGACATTTAATTTGTAACAGTGAAGACCCTGCTACATCTGAAATGAAGCTTTATATACAGTGTAATCAACGGAAGTCTGAACCATAACATCCCAGCCCTACAAAGAGTAATTTCCAGGGGTAAAGACAGCACAATGGAATTCCACTGGGTTCACAGAATAGCTCTATAAGCAGTTACAGACCTCTTAGATTGTCAAATGTATGTAAGATAATGGAAATAATACATATTAGATAACATTTTCAAAAGCAACAAAGGTTGGAAGTCTGTTACTGTTGGAAAAAAATCCCTAAATATTTGCAATTACAGACTGAATGTATTTGTACCTGTATCCTTTATAAACAGAATATGAAGTACAGAATGTTTTGGAGTAGTTGCTTTAATGTTATTTTCCTATTCCTTCAGCTTTTTTACCAGGTTAAAGGCGATATGTGTTTGAAGATAATTGAAAATGGGAAACAAAAAGACGTTGTCATCCGAGAAGGGGAGGTAATACAGAGTTGCTTTTCTGTTATTGTTGTACATATGTAGGTTAAATGAATATTTTACGAAGTATTTTAAAATCAGTTTATCCCTACTGCAAAAGAAGGCATCAGGAAAAAAATAAATCTTGAATGCAGCAGAGCAAATTCCATGTAATTAACAGCAAACTAAGATATATATATAAGATATACTGTGTTCAACACTTCATGATTACAGTAACAGATAACGCTCTGTCTGGGTATTTGGGATACCCATTCAGATAGTCAGGAATATACTGAGAGGAGTTCCTGTTCCCCTGCATGGCATGGAATCTGCTATGTGAATTAAGGATCAGTGTTTTATTTACACACTGTCAGGTACATACCGGCCACCCACCCAAACTCACTATTAAGTGAACTGCCTAGAACTTAGAAAGTTCTAGATTCAGCTATTTTCAGCCTCTTTCTTTAGCCCTCCCAGCTAGCCTTCGCAACCACCACAATATGAGAACAGTTTTAAGAGAGCAATTTATGGATACAATGCATGCAGCCACATTCAGTTGCTTTTCCTTACAGTAGTAGATTTGCTAAAGCATAGATTGCAGTGCTTTTAATAAGAGTGTGACTAGGTGTTTTACTTGGTGTTACTACAAGTTGTTAGATGTGCTACAACTGCCACTCATTATTATTATTGTCACAAGCTTGAACTAGACTCAGTCTTTGAAAGGGTTACGAGATCTAGTGGGGCCAGCCTTTAAAATGGAAGACACGTATTACACCCAGTTGCTTGATGTCATTAGAAGCATTACAACATTTTCAGTGAAGAAACAGAGCTACAGTTTCAAACCTATAGATGATGAGATTCTGGTAATACACTTCACCCTGGAGAAGTACATCCAGCTGAGATCTTAGCACATACCAGAAGCATTAATGAAAAGGAGCACACAATATCCTTAGTGGGAAGCCTGACACTAGTGCTGGTGAGGCACTATCATTAGCTCTGCTTTGCAGACAGAAGGATTGTAATGACTTGCCCAAACTTAGCTAAGAAATCTGCAGTTTACCAGCTTCCTACGTAGTCAGATAACTGCTAGAAAAAGGTTTATTCTCATACTCCAGTAATAGACTTCTCCCAACCAAATGTTGCCTTTGTCATTTGCATAAGTAGCCCCTCATATTTGTTAATTATTTCTGGAGAGAATAACACTCCTCATCATGCAATCACAGGTGCTCACTCTGTTGTATGGATACATGTGGTTGATTAGTTTAGATACTTCCTTGAGCTGACAAAAAAAAAAAAATCACTTTTTGTTTCCATTTCTGCTACTCAGAAATTGCAGTAAATTTATACATTCCAGATGAGTAACTGGTTAGATTTTCATTTCAATTATGTCTAGCAATGATGATCAAACAGGTAGGAGAGCACCTGACTGTCGTAAAGGCACTGCTGATTGCAGAGTCAATGGTCACCATTCATTGAGAAAGCAAGAAACAGTATCTGCTGGACTGTTGGTACCAAAGTGAGCGCAGCTGCAAAGAAGCAACACAGGATCAATAAAGAGTAGGGGAGAAATGGGGCAAGGAGCTGAGGATTTTGCAGTTTGGGGCGCAGAGGGGAAAGACAACACAAAGAACAAAGACTTCCTGACCGTGATGCTTTGCTGTTTCTTTGAACAGATGTTCCTCCTGCCTGCTAGGATACCTCACTCTCCTCAGAGATACGCCAACACTGTGGGTCTTGTGATTGAGAGGGAAAGATCAAAGACAGAAATTGATGGGCTCAGGTGAAGTATAAACTGTTGGCTAATATGTTAGGAATCATAATATAAACTAATTTCTCATGTCCATACAATGCTGTATTTTGCTTTCCTGATAATTTATCAGATTCACCCTAGCAATTTTGTAGTAATTTTATCCACACATCTATTTATCTATACACACACAAAGAGAGATCTCATTTAGCATTTGATTTAGTTAAACCAGGAACTTGTTGAAATATATTAAATGCATGTTGTGGTTATAGATTACCTACTTATGTATTGTCTACTAGTATTGCCTTAAATTTTAAAAATCTCAGAGCTCTGTAACAACACAAATCAAAAAATATTTATCAATTCTGGCAAGCAGAACATTAATTCCTTTGTAAGCACTGAAAGCAGAAAGATGAAGAAGAGCTTTCTTGGCAAGCGTGTGGGAAGCTGGAAACAAAAGTCAATCTTCTTAACACAAACCCCTCTACATTGTACACACCTCTGCCTAGTTTTTATTGCCTTACAAGAACAACATCTTCAAAGAAATGAGAGGTTTACTTTGTATTCTAGTGGGAGCAGGACTAAGCTTTGTCCTGTGGTCATACAGGATTCATAAGTCTAAGAACACAAGTCACATCAGTAGCTTAACCAAGTTAGAAAAGCTGTTTTGATATTAACCAGCTATGACTGACCAAAGAGTTTACAGCCATTCATGTAATTTCTAAAGATCCAAAACTGCGGTAATATCTTTAATGTGCTGGGTTTCTTCTTTTGCCTACACTTTAGATTGTTACATGGGTGGTGTCACAGCAGGAAGATTGCAAATACATGGAGCTGGAAAGGGGTGCTTTCTCATTCAAATAAAAAAGGTTAAGAAAGAATTAAGAAAGTAAGAAAGGGACGATTTAAAATAACATCTGCTTGGATTCTAAACTACAGACAAATCCAGTTCTTTTAAATCATTGTTCATCTATGCACTTGTCCCTTTTTTTCCTTTTATAGCAGGTCTATGGATCATGAGCATTTACATTATTAAAAAGATATTTTGAGCTAGAAACAATTGGCCAGTGATTCAGATAGCAATGTTTGTTTGTAATAAAGGAACATAGTTTATTTTACTTAAAAGTTAATTAAATTTACTTATCTTGTACACAAAATCTGTGAGTTAGATACTGAATGCCTTTTTAGGGATCCCAGGTAGGTCTAGGGATTTGCACTCCAATATAGTCATGCTCTTGTGAAGAAATTAAACTAAAATCTACCATATGGTTTGCGGGTGGAAAAAATAATTGAATTAACAAAGCACACTCTTAATTGAAAATATCTAATCAGGTGCCTGAAAATAAATCACTTCAGGGTTTTTAATGCCCTTGTTTTCACACTGACATGATGAACAAAGACACCTGAAGTTTTGGAAGTGAACAATCATGTCATACTTTTGAACCTGCATTGTTTCTCTGTGTGCTCTGGGGAGAGATGGGGATTTACAACCAGAACCTCTAATCTTCTCAAACATTTTTCACTCCCAGCCACCTGCTGCAAAGACTGTATAAGAGGAAGTCATAATAAACTTTGAAGTATGCTGACTCAAATTCTAATATTACATTACTGTTCCATTATTTATTATGCCTACAAGCCTCAGTCATAAATCAGAGCCCCCAGCATGCTGATTATTGTACAAGTGAAGAATAAGTAGCCTGCCCTGGTGTTTCAACCTAAGTAATGATTACATACTTTGTAGTATATAAAAAAATGCACTAGCTAATCTTAATTCTATAGCAAACAAGTACAGAAACAACTAAGTTTGATGTTAGCTGCGTGGTTGGATCCTTTAACACAGAGACATTTGTAACATCTCTCTTCTCTGTAGATTCTCTGTGCTCAAAACTTGTGCTTGTAGCACAACTTTTTCCATATTGGAGGCATTAATAATGTTACTCTCTTTTAAATAGCATGTTTTTTCCAAAACTTGAGGGACTTGGGAGCTCTTCTAGACAATATTTGTACAGATACGTAAGACCGACATGAATAGACAAATACACGTATATGCATAGTATAATCATAGCAGCCTTGTTTCCCCTCTTCAAACACACATTCCAGTGACTATAACCCAAGGGACACATAGGACCTATTTACAATCAGTCGCAAAATGTGTGACTGTACTGGAGCATCACTCCCTTTACATACCATCCAGCCTTTTTAAAATCTGTACGTAAATTCTGTACTTGTCATTCCATAGATTACAGCAACCTTAACCTATTGATCTCAGCATAATTTATTTCTTTATTTGTTAAGATATAAAATAATGCAAGGGAGGCAGATGATCTGGAACTAGATGATCTTTAAGATCCCTTCTAACCCAAACCATTCTATGATTCTAAGCACTAAGTTCCTCTTCAAAGGGGTGAGCTCAACAACACTTCTCACATGTACGCAGCTGAAAACCAGTTTTTTGCAAACAAGTCCATAAACGCCTTTGTATTTTTATCAATCCATGGATGGGAAAGATGAAAGCCAACTCTCTTAAATATGAGCATTTGTCTTATAGCTGCATGGGAGCAGTTACTGGAAATGGTATTTGGTGCCAGTTATTTCTGCAGTAACTACGTCCAAAGTGAGAGCTATTGCTCCCAAGGCACCAATCAGTTTCTGGGATTAAATCTGGAAAGTTTGCTAAAGGAATTTGGTGACTTATCTGTGGTTGAGCAACAAAACTCACAGGCCCTCGATAGGCCACTCCACCCACCAGTCAAGCTAATCAGGGAAACACAAAGTTTCCCTAAATAACCGTTCTTCAGCATAAAGTACACCAGGCTTGAGAATAACACACTGCTATACACTTCATGAAGCTCTTTTCTTGAAAAGACTGAAACTGCCTGAACAGTTAGTTAATAAAATTATTGACTAATTTTTTTTTACTTGGTCAGATACTACGTTGGAGATACAACTAATGTCCTCTTTGAAAAATGGTTTCACTGTGAAGATCTTGGCACTCAACTTATACCAATAATTCAAGAGTAAGTATTTTTATGTGTAATTCTTAAAAGAACGGTTAAAATTATCTCATAGATCTTCATCTGTCTGTGACTTACAGAGTAAATTTTCGGTTTATGCTACATTTTACGTAGACTTGTTAAAAATTAATTGCTGCTCTACAAATTTTTAATTATCTCTTGTGTACCCCAAACTCATTAAATCAGATTTAAAAAAAAAATAAAATAAAATGTTCTTCACATCTATCTGGAACATAATTTTTAAACAAGTGTAAACACACTGCTGCTAAGTGCAAAAAGAATTGAATAAAAAATTAACACTGAACTGATGCTAAGTTAACTAGGTAAAACACTAAATTGCCTTAGGCTTTTTTTTTTTCACTCTTGCTTTAATCTAAGTACTTTTAATCAATATTATTCAAGAATACTCAGGATTGTGACAAATTTGGTAGAGAGGTGCTTTTGAGGAAATGTGTGAATATCATCAATTGACCAATTAATTTGTTAAATGGTTGCTAAAGGTGAACAAGGCAATTGTTTGGTGACATGAATTTTGGAGGACTTTCAGACAAACCCTCTGTCAGTAAAATAGATATAGCCCTGTTGAATGCATGTGATAGCAGCTGAGGATCTGGCACATCCATTCTCAGCACAAAGCTTAATGGCCAGTATTATTGCCTAGTCTTTGTTAACCTACAGAACGTGAACATGACTTTCTACTTGTTTTAAATGTTTATTATTCCAGGTTTTTCAATTCAAGGCAATATCAAACTGGAAAACCAAATCCAGGTAATGAAAATTAGTTTCAGAATTACAACAATTATTGTATCTGATTGAACAGTAATGACTCTCTCCACATCAAATGACTAAATTTCTGTTTTTCTTTCCAATTATGTAAATGAAAGTTACTTTGGCAAGTAATTCCTTTCATTACCCCAACCACAGGAACTACCTGGAGAGTCTCCATGACATTGCCAGGTTCTTAATCAACACACGGGCACACACAAATCAGCATAAGCACAGCAGGAGCTGCCTGTGGGATCTCCAGGACAGCCTGGCATTCACACCTGGAGAGCTCCTGCTCCAGTTAGCCAAATGCTGTTGTGAAGGCCACCAGTTCAGTCAATTCCATTGCTCAACTAGGTTTGTTGTTTCAAAAGAGTCTGTTGTCTCATCTTTGCAGATGACTGACCGGGGGACATCCTGTACCAGCCAGGAAGTCTATGGCTCAGGTGCAATGCACATGCACAGCCATAATACCCAGCTGTGCTACTCTTACAACTACAGGACAAACTTGAATATCATCCTTCAGTCACACCCATAAATGAAATTCTATAGCTCTTGCCACAAGATAAAGATAAATTTGAGTTCCCCTCTTTAAGAAGATTTTGGCACTAACCAGTTGTCCTTAATCTCCATATTCATTCCCAAATGTCTTAAGAAAGACAATTTTTTTTATGAATTACTCTATCAGAGACAAAAGTTATAATGAAACATTATTTCTACATCTATCCCATTTCTCAGCTTGACAGTCACCATAAAACTGTCACTGCCTGCCCTCTCAATCAATAATTGAACAAAGTTCTTACACAAATCCTAAAATCAATCAAGGGAAATAATTTTTTTTTGCATGAACATCACCTTTCTTAAAAACAGTAAACTAGATCATTGTCACCAAAATGAAAAGTTCACATGAGAGTTGTTCTGTATGGGATAGCAACCTCCCAAGCCCCAGGAAATGGTAAGCCAGCCAGAAGACCTGCCTGAAAGACTTTGCAGCTGAACCAGCTTTTAACATTGACTCTTTGACTCTGAAATGTACTTCTCAAAAAAAGGCTCTCTGTTTCTTACAAACAAAATGCTGTCTTCTCCAAGATCTTACTTTTCTTTATATACACCATCAAAATGTGTTTATTTTAATTTGATCTTTTTTTTAATTTGAACATGTCACCTGTGTGACATACTTGGGTGTTAGTGGTTTATTTGGGTCCTTTTTGTGGGAGGGTAGGTAGGGCAGGTACTGTCTCTCACTGTGTGTTCGTGCAGTGTCTAGCAGAGGAAATATAATTTCAGATGAAGCCTCTAGATGCTGCTGTAATAAAAAAAATATAATCTCACACTTACTATCCTTGTTCAATACAGCGATTTCCAATAAGCATCCCTCACTGGTCTCAGCTAAGAGCTTCTATGTCAGTAACAAAGAAATTATATCAGTGCAGAAAAAATTAACATTAAAGATTTATATTGTTAATATTTTTGCAGAAGATTAGAGCTAAAGAACAAACCTGACAATCAATCACAAGCTATGATGCATCTTGAAACTTTTTTTAAACACTCTGAAAAGTTGTTATTGATAAATCCAGTACAGAAGCTTTTTCCTTGTAATTTATTCAAAAGCTGTAGAAAGGCCAAAAGGCATGACAGACTTCCATTAAAGATGAAAAAAGTTTTTTTCAAGACAAAAATAGAGCAAGTAAACCTAGTTAGCTTGCTCAGAGCTCAAGACAGCCTTTTTCCCCTGAATGGATTCTCCTCTTGGATTACCCCCTAAGTCAAGACAAAAGCATTTGAAATGCTCTTGGCTTAACTCTTGCTGTAAGCAAAAAACAGTCAACAAAGTTACATGGCAGCCTTTCAGCCTGGGGTACAGCTCCTGTTTTCCAATTTTCAGTTCTCATGGATAATAAGAAGCTCAAAGTCTTATACATGAGGAAAATACCCCAGATTTTTAGTTAGTTTAGCTAACAGCTAGTTTAGCTAGCAGCTCCTGTAACTGTCAGTGAGACGTGTGTTAAAAAAAAATAATAATAAAAAAACTTTGACTTAGATATGCGTAAGCTGGTAATATATTCCTTCTGGAGTCATACACAATTGATAGAGAAATACTGCTTTGGATTTATTCCCTCAACAACTCTCTTTTTTTTTGTTTCTTAAGCAGTGGAATTCAACACCAGCAATGACACTTGTAACATAACAAGCTACCACCAGTTTCTCATGATGCTTCAGTCAAAACACATTTCAACAAGACTTGAGCTGACCTATGCAGAGGGCTGGGTTTTAGCGTCTTTCAGTTTCTCTTCTGAAAATCCAGAATCCCCTTAGTTTAAAAGTGCCAGCTGAAGCACTCTCAGGTTCATCTCTACATAAACCAGAACTAATGCCTTCCCTTCTTAGAGAGAAATGGAATAAAATTTAAGAAAAACATCTTGAAAGAAACCCTTGATTGCAGCTCACTCATACAGGAAAGCTATAAATGGAATCAATCAAGCTACACTTGCTTTAAAAAAGAACACCACCACCACCCCACCCTCCCCCACCCCCTAAAAAAGCCTTACGTTCAGATTTTTTCTTGATTTCTTTATGGTTTCTGGCACAGCCAACACTAGGGCAAGTCCCTCTGAAGCAAGGTACTCAGAGTATATTAAGACGCTATTAAAAGCGTATATCAAAAGTATATCAAGTAGCTATTAAGAAGATACATTTTCAGAAGAGGGACTCAGATATCATCAGATGAAATACAATCAGAAACATTTGTATGCAATCCTTCCTTCAGACATCTTCCCTGGAACTGTTTTACACTGAATCATTAGCTTCTTTTTTTACCATGTGTAGAAATAAAGCCCAAGAAAACTAACCCCTCCTTTTATCAATAAGGGTGATATATTTAGGATATACTCTAAACATGTAACACACAAAATAAGTTGATTTGGTTTACTTTACACGTTTTTTTGACAGAAGCAATCACAGTTATTAAAACAACTCTTGCTACTTTCAGCAAGATGCTACTGGCAGCAAGATTCTCTCAAGGTTTCCATTTCATCCCAATTTTATAGTCAAGAAGACAAGAGACCATTCAGACAGACAAACGTCGGTTGTAATAAACCATGATGGCTGAACATTGCTCACAAATGTATCCAGAAGTTGAAAAGCTTATCCTACCATGCTCACTGAAATAAACCAGGCTTCTTTTATGTGAAATTTGATGGGGAAAAGCGCAAGAAAAGACTTTTCCTAAGTTAGGGTTGTTTAAAAATTATCTTTAAGAATGTTAATGGCATAGGAAGAATGTCAGGTTTTTGTTTACCCAAATTAATTAACCTACTTCTAATTGTCAATGAAATGTTAATTCCCATAAAAGATTTATTGTCAGTGGAAATACAGATATTAAATACAAATACCTGTCCTGTAGTGACTTCGTAAGCAAAACTTTCATTGCCACTAGGGCTATCTAGGGATATTTGTAGTCTGTTCTTTAAATCAGGTTAGTATCGTTAGAACACAGCATAGCTCTATGCTTGTGATTCAGAGCAGACAAAACCAAAGGATCTGAATGAGCATGAGGAAATTGGGTGCTTTCTTCAGTTAGTTGGAGTAGGAACACTATACAGCCCAGGGTATGGTCTATAAACAAATGTTTTCTGGTTTCAGTACTGCTATTAGGCAATTTCTGAGTGTGAGCTCAGCACTATAAAAATCAGCTTTTTTACTGTCATCCCAGGTAGCTAATCCAGTGCAACCCTTGTAGACAGTATTTGCTGTTCAGTCTTGTTTCACTGGTGTATACAAACAAGCAGATCAAAAGAGAAGAGTGTTAATAACTGAAAATAAGAAAAATCTAAAGAATAAAGATAACTGGCTAGTAGGTAATACTAATTCAATTAAAAGTACCCAAAAAAAAAAAAAAAAAAAAAAACAGGGACAGGGAGAAATTCTGTCTTCATTTACACTAAAGCAAATATAGGGCCATTCTTTTGAACTTAACTGTATAAATATTTGTGCCTTTTGTTGTAGGCACATTGATATAATTCTAAAGACACTATCACTGAGGTTTTTTTTTTTAAATAAGAATGATGATTTTGGAAACACTTTTTATTTGCTATGAAGCTCTTTAGAAAATTTAATATTTGATTCTCTTTTCTCTCATCTTTTAAGGACTCCCAACATATCTAGATAGATTGCTCCTTCTAGAATATCTTGATTCTTTCTACTTTGAGAACTTGTATTAAAAGAAACAACATATGAGCAGTAAGGTATTAAGGAGTGCTTGTCTACGGAATTTATTTTGTAAACAGAAACCAGGAGGTCTCTAGCACATAACAGTATGCAAACCAACACAGACTCAACCATTTTTAACTGTCTAGTAATTATACAATTCTCCAAGACACTGTCTCTATAACTTTTGTCAACAACTTGAATCTACTGCTTTTTCATATCATCCTTATTGTCTCTATTCTGGCAAAGATGCCCACATAAATACACTGTCCATCTTTGTCACATCTTACCTAAAGTCATGTCCATATCTCTCCTGAAGCCCACCTGAACTGTAAAGAGTACACTGGTTGAAGAAGGGAATAGAATAATCTAATATACACGTGCAATCCGGTATAACCAACAGCAACCCCTCACTGGCTTAATTCATTTCCCCTCAATATTTAACAACTTTCCACACCACACCACTCCCTGCCAAGTATATAGCCAGTACTGGAGATGAAGAGCTCACGTGAACCAACCTAAGTCAGCAACATTTAATACGCGAGTAAAGTAGAATTACAGTGTCTGCAGTATGGCTGCTATAATTTGCCATATGAAAACTTCTACTAAACTTCTTAATTCCAAACTACAGCATATTATCCAAAAGCCAGGACTGTGGGCTGCACATTCTCTGGAGCCAGGAATGCTCCAAGAAGTTCATTAGGCTCCTAGAGCCCAGAACTGCTAATGACAACATTCACCAAGCAAAATCCAAGAAGAGTCTTCAGGACAAAGTCTGCTTCTGCCACAATATTCTT